ACAACAACAACAAGAGCTGAAAAAATCAAAGCAAAAGCGACCGCACAAAGTGCAATCAATTTAATTTCTAATGCAACCTTATTAACAAATGTGGGGCGAAAACTTTAAACAAATACAAGTACGATAATTTCGTCAGTCAGTCGGCCAGTCAGTCAGTCATTTAGTCACAAGGTGGTGGTAATTTAATTAGAGCAACCATAAAGCCCAAGGCGATATCAGCTGATCGAGCTGCCTGCCTGCGTGGGTGAAATCATAGACTGCTTTATAGAAAATAAAACAGCCAACAAACCAACCAATCAATAATTAAAAGCAACTTAAACCATGTCGTCTAGGCCTGCCAAAAAACGTTTATTTAAACTTGCTAATTATTTAATGAGTGCAACTAAGACACTGGTCGATATTTTAATTTCTATGTTTAGCAAAACGTTTAGCATGCTCATGTGGCATAAGTCGTGCGGTAATGTCTCTGATATATGTATAGTAAGTTTGTGCCTAGCTTTATATTAGTGTATGTGTGTATATGCAAAACTGATGGCATGACATGCTCGGAACCAACATGGGTATAAACATTATGGAGCACACGTAGTCATGGCTATGAAGTTATAATACTTGTATATAATATATACTCGTACTCGTATACTTAACTTCGATTGCCATATTGCCACTTCGATTTTCCATTTCGACAATGATTTATGCGCATTCAATAATTTTTTTTATGACAGGTGCTCTAAAAATACCAATTTCCCGATGTTTAAAAGTACATTAAAGCCTCCTTAGCGGGCCTCAAAACGCGACGTGCCATTGTCGCTGGCACCTCTTGCTTGCTAGCTTTATCTTTAAGCCGTTTTCAATAGCTGGCGAGCGACAAAAATCGAAATAATTTTATTGCCCTGGGCGGTGGTAGAACAACAAAAACAACTCTCTCCGCTGATAGCGACGACAACAACGTCGGGTGGCATTTAGAGATATGGTGGTCTCTCTGGGTCTGACTGGGCATAAGCCACGTCATAGTTGTGTGCCAGACTGGCATATCGAGTGGATGTTTGGGCTGAAGTCGTCGGGATATTTACCGGCTATATAACTCAATTTGTGCTATGCTGATATTCAATAGAATCGTATCAGCGATTGGTAGATTATTTGCAGTCAAAAGAACTAAAAACTATTTGGACTCTCATGCGATTATGTGCAGTATTACTCATATGTACAATCTTAAAGAGTCTAATTATTTAGTCAATAATTGATATTTAGTATTTAAGTAATTATACAGTCTTGTGAATGCAAAATAAAGAAAACCACAAATAGGAATTGAGAGAATCTACATATATACAATGCATGGAGAACTTACTGGCAACAGTTTCCGGAATTCAGGCGATCAGATGTTCGAACAGCAGATGCACAAAATACTAAAACAATATATTAACTTAGATATACTTCGTCCGCTAATTAATGCAGATCCTGTAGTGTGTGAAGCTATAGAGCATATGGTCACAGAAATAGTTTTCGATTCTTATGGTATTAACCATATTACTCTTAGATTTAAGTACTTTTACTTGTAAAAGGCAAGTTTTCTCAGTATTATTCTATATTAATTTTCGATTATCTTTGTCCTCCTTATTTATTTTAACTCAATCCAATACCAGTATTTTGTATCAAAGCACTTACCTATAATAAATATATATTTTGTGTATAGCATCAAATTTGTATGATTTACAAGTATGTAGTTTCTAGGAAGAATAAACAGTCGTAGGTAATTGTTATATTGTGACGATTTTTGATTACCTTTTAAACTCAATTAACCCATCGTGCATAGCAGTGTCTACGAAAGGCCTACCCCTCGAATTTTAGATAATTTGCTTGTTTGTTTATTAGATAATGCCAGCTGTAACACGCAAACGTACGTATTCGACTGACTTACCTATATTGATAAAAAATAAAAGCAGCCCAAAAATTGTTTTTTTCCCCCGTTCAATAATTGTATTGAAAGTTGTGTTTCATGTCAGGCTAAGCAAATAAATGTGTTATCAGTATTTCTATTGGTAGTCATTGTTGTTCTGCTATTTTGACGCACATTTTGGCTATACTTCGATATCACTTGGATTTCTGATAATGCATGCAATGAACTATAAAAAGGCAAGAATTATAGGGCACGTACAATTTTCGAAATGAAAACTTATTAGTAAGCATCAATCAGCAAATTAATTTCTACAAAAATTTAGGAAATTTCTTTCACCCTATATACAAATATAAATATTTATATACATATTCTATATACGATTTTAAATGAAATTAGCATACAAGCTGACAAAATGTTTGTGCAATATTTGCGAAACTGATGTTTACAATTTTCACGGCGCACAAATTTTTAATATATAAGCAAAGCGGAGATGCCTATTTTTAGTCAATAAACACTTTTGGACATTGACGACAATCGTTTGTTGCTGAAAGAATTCAAAATTACCAATACTCTTTTTGCATTCATTAAAAAGTTAATAAATAGATATAAATATTGCACAGCATTTAATTTCATTACTTTTGTTGACAAAAGCTTAGCTACGTCACATGAAAAGTATACATAAAATTAAAGTCGACTGTTAAATACTCTTTGATACACTCGCCAATAATTTGTGCTTGAAACATTTATCAGTAATATGCAATGAATACTGTATACAAAAGATTGTGAATATGTACATAAATATCGAAATAAGAAAAACCTTCCTTATATGGGCTCACCCGTCAATACTCACTTCTTCTTTTGAGTTTTTCAAATCTCAACAAATCTAGTTTTTTGCTAAGAATTTAAATGAATCAGCTGTTGTGAGCGTTTATTTTGGTAATTCCTGTAAACAATTAGGTTCTCAAATCCAAGATTTCGTTATTTTTTTTGCTTTCTGTAGAAAAGTAGTCTCAAGTTATTATGTAACACAACCTTTCCCCAATTCATTATACCTATTTTACTCTTTAAAACGGGAATACAAATACAAATGATTTACGCTGCTGACAAATAAAATATGGCTGGAATGGGCAGTTTAAATAAATTATAGATTTTTGTTTTCTTTTTGTGTCAATTACCTTTGTATATGTATTTATTTAAAATAAAATGAAATTATTGCATATTTGTATGTACTTGTACATAAGTATGCATGCAATATTTTATTTCTATACTTCCAATCCTGTATTCCAGTTTGAATAAACATTTTGCTAATTTCGTGAGACTTTTGGCAGAGCATTTATAGCGCATAAAGTTAAATATTTATACTGCTTACTCATTTGCACAAATAATATTGTAAAACGATCGTAAAACTTGCACGCAATTCATAAACATACTCGTACATATGTATGTATAAAAATATATCTGTATACTCGTATGTATGTACTATGTATATAGGCAGACATATGTGCATATGTGCAATGTGCGTCTTGCACTTCATTTCGATTTTCGCTCAAATCGTTTTCAATTATGGAAAATGGGTTGGGTTTTCGAGGTGGCACCTTCTTTTGGGCAACACGTGATGCAATGCTTCTGGCGCCAATTCACAACTCATAATTATTTTAAATAATTATTCCATTTCTCGTACATACATACGTATGTAAATACTTCTCTATAATTACAGTTACACTCTACTTAGTACACGTACGACTATTTGAGAAGTAATTGTTCAATGTATAGACCATATTTATTTAAATCATTCGTCCCAACTGCCAAACAGTCGAAATCTTTGTCCCAAATTCTGCGGTTTTTAAGCAATTCGACAAACAAACAAACAAACAGAGGAGCATATATTGTATTTTTGTTACGCATTTGACACCAAATTCAAAATGCGCAAACTGAAAACACAAAACAAATGTCTTATGGCACATAATTTTCCACAAAAATCAGCAGAAAAGAAAATGTGATGGAAAAGTCGCAAACCGTTTGATAACTGCAGCGTAAAAATAGCAAAGCTCTTGAAACTGACGAGCTGTCTGGCTGACCAAACGGACGTCTAGCGCTATCATACATACATATGTATGTGTCTATGAACGAGTATTTATGCCTATGTCAGGGCGCGGGACTGGGAGCATAATCAACAACAAGAAGAGCCACAACGAAAACGACAAATTTCTTTAATAAAAAATATAAACAAAAGAAAAACCAAATACGTAGGACCGCGCGTCAAAAGAGAGAAGAAAAAAAAACATTCGCATGAAATACGACTTACACAGTTAAATGATTTTATACTCTTACGATCAGACGGTATTATACTAAGTATGTTTAGAATAATTCTATCGTATAACAATGATATGATGATCAACAAAAATACTCGATAAGAATAATTTTACTAATACATCTTTAAGGTATCAGGGGCTTATTCCCAACTGCACAAAAATTGATAAACAAACCCGCTGTTTTTTCCTGAGATGTACATACATGGTGGGTGGTATATATAATTTCAAAATTTGTAAATGAAATTATGAAAACTTTTAAGCAAAGTTACGCAGTTTTCATAAAATTTCATAATTGTCTAACCCTGAAAAGATCTTAAATACCAAAAAAAAAAAAAAAAAAAACGGGGGAAAAAAATAATAGCAGAATTATGTACTATAGAAAATGATTTAAACATTTTTACGCAAATATTCCATACGATATTTTATAGGCAGGGTATATAAAAGTCGAACGCGTACATCTTTGGAATTTGGAATATTTTTTGTTCCGTTGTGTTTTCTTTTTTCAACTTATTTTTGAAGGTCAAGCGAGCAGCAACGGGAAGCGCCACAAATATGCAAAGAAAGACACACAACATGGGCTACTTACATACAAATTTACAACAGCGACGGCAACAACAACAAAGAAATAACCGGAAACCCCTTTTTCAATGCAAAAACGCATAAAAACCGCGCGGCCCAGAAGAGAAAGCAAGACTAACAAAAACAAAGAACAGCTAAAGGGCTGCTCTGTATGTGTAGGTGTGTGTACTTTCCTGGGGGTGTCGAAAAAGACCAACAAAGTATGATTAACTTACCACGCGCCGTGTCTCATACCGAGCTCCCAGCCCCACTGCCTCTGGCAATGGCATGGCGACCATCGACTCCTCCAACTCCTCGAGTATTGTATGTGTGTGTGGAGTGTGCGGTTTTGTGTGTGTGGGAGCGACCATGCAGACGTCATGGAGCATTTCGTAGGGATCAATTGACTGCAGTGTGCACTGCTCGTCATATAAAATGTCAGCCGATGGCGGCGGCGAGGGTGGCAATGGATTTTCCATAATATATACGAAGTCTATTTCGGGCATTGTTGCTGTTGCTGTTCCTGGTTCTGTGTTCAATTGCAATGGCGTCGCTGTTGGTGGCTTGGTTTTGTTGTCATTTTCACCCACAATACCCACCAGTTCTCTGTCTATGTCCATTTCCATGTCCATTGCGGGGCCATTCCAATTACATTTTTTTATGCGTTTATCAGAGCGCGTTGTATTTGTTGGTGTTGCTGTTTGCGTTGTTTTTGTTGCTGCTCCGGCGCCACTATTCGCGCTATTCACATTGTCGTCTATTTGAAAGACATCAATGTCCATGTGCATGTCCATTATCATTAAATCCGTTTGTGTGGCTTTTTCGATTTTCTCGTCGCTGTAGTCGCAGTCGTAACGCAAACGCATATCCTGAACATGGTACGAATGTATGTGGGCCATGAAAACATCAAACTGGAGGCAAATAGCTGGGCAGAATGCACAGTTGAAACCGAAGCATTGCAAATTAGGCGAGGTGGTTATTTCTCCACATTTGCTAAAGTAAGCGTAATCCTCGAGCTGCCAATTAAATTCCTGCACTTGTTCCACCGCCGGCAACATGGTCGTTGGCGGCTCGTTGGTTGTTGTTGTTGATGTTGCGGCCAACGCCATGACAAGCGGGACACACAAATCACGAACGATTATTTCTTTTGCTTTTTTTATATTTTAATTTTCTGCTTTAATCGGAAAATTTGGTCACTAGCGCTTTTTTGTGTTTAGAAATATTAGATTGTGTTCGAGGCGATGGTGTTGATTATTGTTATAATTGTCTTTTAGCGCGCACTTCTGCGCTCTCCAAATAGAAGGACGACCGACAACAACGCGGAATCCCCAGACAATGAGACACGATGCAAACAGCCGGCAAACCGCCGCACAACTGAGTAAATTCGAATGTGTTTTCTCTTATAAGAATTGCTAACGCCCTGCCAACTTATTGCAAAATAATGGATTTACATTATGTTATTACGGGAGTAACGGTTGAGTGCGTGGGCGGGCTGTTAGAACTCTGTTATATACTTAAAATGTAATTAGGGAAAAAGTCAGGCTATATACTTTATAATGTGATGTTTTATTATACACATCCAAAGTATCTTTGTACCTAAGATTGTGCATAGTATCCAAATAATTTCGAGCAGCTGTAGCACAGACCCTATGTTAAGAGTGTACCTGAACGAAGTGGCACCACTGTTACTTAAAGACAAGTTGGCAGCCCCCAGCTACAGTTCGGGCCATTGACAGCGGTTTGTTATTTAACCAGTTTTTTTCTAACAAAACAATGCAAAATTCTTTGAAATTTGTGCATGTGGCACTAAGGTGCCAACAGCGTTCCATTTGCACGTCAGCACCCTTGTCAGGCAAGCGAAATTTCCGTAAATTCAACGTTTACAACAAACGTGGCACACGCGTGGTGAAGGAGGCACAGAAGACTTTGGCAAACCCACCAGTGGCTATACATAAACGCGGCGTGCGTGACACTGGCGTAGTCATTAACGGTCAGTTTGTGGAAATACCTGAGAAAATACCCGACATCATAGTACCTGACCTGAGCAACTGCAAGTTGAAGCCGTATGTGTCTTACAAGGCGCCGGAAGTAGTGCAGTCTGAGTTTACTAGCTTGGATCTGTTTAATGCTGTTTACTCGAAGAAGATAATAGAGGACTTCAAAGCTGATAAGCTGCAGGCGGACGGCGAGGCAATAGAGCCGTCACCAAACGAACAGCTCACACCATCAGAAGCGCTGATTCGTGCACGTAAAACTGGAAGCGATATATTCTAGACATAAGATTTTATTGTTAAATCGAAAGCAATTATTCCTTGATATACTTTTGGCGGTAATTGTAGAGTTTGCGCAACCACTTCTCCGCCTTCAGTTCTGGATCGCAGAGAAACTGCAGTGTCATAAGAGTGTTAAAGATAAAAATACAATAAATGTCAAGATATTCTTACATTTGGATGAAAAACGTCCTCCTCCTTGAGAGGTGCAGTTTCATTGGGCCGTGGAATCGTAACTGTTTCATTTTCCAGATCGATGATTACTTTATCCTGCTCAGGAGCTTCTCGATCCCGCATACTAAAGAAAGCTGTCGGCTGAAAGGAATCCTCATCAATGGTTTCGAGTGCCTTTTGCACTTTAATATCCAGTAAATCAATAGATTTTACGACGGAAGTGTTAGATAAAGTTGTTGAGGGTGTCCGAGTATTACTTTCAGGGCTGGGAGCTCGAGTGGTGCGTTGTGAAATTGAACGCGACTTTGACTTTCGTGTATCATAGTCCCGACTCCTGCTGCGCCGGCTGTGGCGACTATTGGAGTCGGAGCTGTCTGGTGTTGTGCTCCTTGAAGAGCTCGTGCTCCGACTGCGCCGGTAATATTTGGCTTTCTTTGATTTTTTCTTCTTGGACTTGGAACCGACATGCCGGCTGCGGGATGAATCTGGGGATTTGGAACGGTAGCGATCACGCTCCCGGTCGCGGTTTCTGTCCCGATCGCTTCTATCTCTATCCCTCTCCCTATCGCGTCTGTCACGTTCACGCATTATTATTCAGAAATAAATAAAAACAAAACTTAGCTGTGGACAAATCTACAGTGTGACCTCACTTCAAAAACATAAAAAAGGTGGCGCCGTTTTCATCCTCAATTGATGGGTAGCACTTTAAAATGACGTTACATTTCAACATTTGTTTTGTAATCTGCAAACAAAAATATATTTTCCCCAGGTGTGCTATAGTCGCTATATATGTACTTATCATCGCAATATTCGCATTCTTTATGCCAATAAAAATATAAGTTGAAATGTTATCTATTTCTGACCACATTTATCAAGAAAGCAGCTTTAAAGTGCTTCCGAGACCAACGCGTAATTGTATGTGCAAAATATAGATGCAATAAATTAATCATCTAAGGCCGTTTATCAAATCGTTGATGGGAGCTTAATGTGTTGGTGTCTGCTGACCAATCGAACACCCCCAGTGGCCTGTTTCCTATAAAAGGTCGACCAAATGCACTAAGCCTCAAAGTGTTCGCATTCGTTGCCATTGATTGTGTTCTTAAAATGCGGCTATATCAAATTTTTGGCGTTCTGCTGCTGGCCTATGTGGCTATGGCTCTACCATCCGATGCTGGACGCTCCAGCACTGTGACTACGGTAAATATGAAATAATAAGTGGCCGCAACCAGTATTGTTATTGTTTTGTTCAATTAAGGTTTCCATTGTCAAACAATTCGGCTATCCCATAGAGGAGCATGTCGTTCAGACTTCCGATGGCTATATTCTTACCATGCATCGCATACCATATTCCAAGCAAACGGGCAACGATGGCTCTAAGCGTCCTGTCATATTCCTCATGCACGGCTTGCTCTGCTCCTCTTCTGATTGGGTCCTGAGTGGCCCAGAAAATGGATTAGCCTTCCTGCTGTCTGACGCTGGATACGATGTTTGGATGGGTAATGCACGTGGCAACACATATTCGAGAAAACATGCCAGCAAATCGCCACTGCTGTCACCCTTCTGGGACTTTGAATGGCATGACATTGGTATTTACGATCTACCCGCTATGATTGACAATGTTCTCTACCAAACGGGAGAGGAAAGCTTGCAGTATGTCGGACATTCTCAGGGAACAACTTCGTTCTTCGTTTTGAACACGATGATTCCTCGCTTTAAGAACCGCATACGCTCTGCTCATTTGTTGGCCCCTGTTGTCTGGATGGATCACATGGAGAGTCCTTTGGCCAAGGTGGGAGGACCACTATTAGGTCAGCCGAATGCATTTATCGAACTCTTCGGCAATGCAGAATTTTTGCCAAACACTTACGCCATGCAGCTGATGGGTAGTCTTATGTGCAGAGATTCATCAGCTGTTCAGGCTTTATGCTCAAATGCGCTGTTCTTAATGGGAGGTTGGGACTCACCGTATCTGAATGCCACCATGATCCCTGATATTATGGCCACAACTCCGGCGGGCTGTTCGATCAATCAGATCTATCACTATCTACAGGAATACAACTCGGGCTTCTTCCGTCAGTTTGACTACGGCAGCACTCGCAACAAAAAGAAGTATAGCATTAAGACTCCACCAACCTACGATGTGGAGGCTGTCGATGTGCCCATCTATTTGTACTACAGCGACAATGATTACTTTGCCAGTTTGATCGATGTGGACCGCCTACGTTACACTTTAAATCCAAGCATTCTGAAGCGTGCATATCGCTTGCCGGAGGAAAAGTGGAATCATCTGGACTTCTTGTGGGGAATGGGTATCAAGGAAATACTTTATGATTTGGTGATGGAAGATATTGCCAATGCATAAATAAAAAGAAGGCACGTGTGATATTATTTGCACACTCTAATCAACCAGTCGTAAATTTAATGGATTTAATTTGAATAGCCGATAACGATACTATACTTGCTATGTGTCGGGGGTCTGACGTTTAGTTGCCTCCGTTGTATATAAATTAGTGACGCGTGGGGTAGCTTGGACAGCTTAAACATATGTATTTACTGTGGGTAAAACCTTCTTCAAAATTCACAAATTTTGTTCGGCCTTGATATGTATCTTCAATTTTTGCGCGCAAATAGAAGTTTCTGGGGAAAGTTTAAATTTGCTATAATGGAAACTTTGGAGGTATCTATAGAAACCGAGATGAAAACTTCAATATAAATGTGTAGTCTTTTCGTCGTATAAATTATTTAAGTACTTATGTACAACTTAGGCTTTATTATCTATCCTTCATTATTTGTTTTCAACTTTTATATGTACTACATATATAACCAATTTTTAATCCAAAAACAGACATACATAATCTGTATTGCAACAAAAGTTTTATCAATTGGTTTTAATCCTTTAAATTCCGCGAAAGAGTAATAAAAGTAAAAAAGGACAATTAACCAAGTCAATTATCATTTTCAAAATTCATTATGATTTATACATGTTTAATCTTAGTTACAAATGCGGAAAAATGGGAAAAAATATATTTATTATTAAAGCGGTTCCGCTTTTGAATTTATAATTATTTTATTAAAGTCTTTTAAAACATAAAACAGCAATTAAAATCCAAATCAACTCCAAAAGAGTTATCAACAGCACCAGTTTGCGGAAAAAATTAAATTGGTAGCACTGGACGCATCTATTAAATATCGATTGCAATTTGCAACCCTGGGCAACTATCAATAAATGTACAGGTACATCCACGAATGTAGTATAAAAGAAATAGAATTGCTTGAAAATTTATAAAAAAGTAAATTCTTTATAGTGAGCGCGTAAGTCCGACTGCAAGATGACGCGCGTAACACGCAGTGATATTTCTCTCGATTTGGAGTGTATCGTAGAGGAGCTCTCGCCGGCACAGCTTTCGTACTTTGAAAATATAAGTAAAGAACATAACGCCGTCAAAAACGCGCTCAAAAATGCTGTCAGCGCCAACGAAGGCAAAGAGCTTTTCAACGGGCAGGTATTTCAGGCGTTTTCGTTCAAAGGTAAAGTTCTGCAAGAGATCAAGGAAGCGGCGTTGCCTAAAAAACCACCCAAGCCGGCAGATCCGCCACCGGCTAGTACTACTGGCGGCACTGGTGGTGGTCGCGGACGGCGGCGTGCCTCGAACATAGCTTATTTAGAATCATCAGATGAGGGTGATGATGATGTGCCATTAGCCAAACGCTTGGCCTTGTCGGTAGGAAAAAAGATTGTGGGTGCGACGCCTGCCACACCAGGTAGGCCAAAACTGGACAAAAAGGGTGCAGCAACAGCAGGTGCCACTGCCATTGGTAGCAGTGGCAAAGCGTCGCCTCAGCTCAAGGCCGGAAAGGGCGCAGGAGTTGGTGCAAAGGGAGCGTCGAAAGAGCCCGAATCGCCTCCCAAAAATTTGCGGCCTTCTGAAGTCAATTCTGTTGGAGGACTTGTTGTGGGCTCCGATGACGGAAAGGATGGTAAAGATGGCAAAGACAGCGCCAAGGACTCGAAGATGCAGGGTAAAACGTATCCCTCGTTGGTCGTGTTGGCTAAGCCTTTTCTCAAGGTCAAGGATATGGCGGCCACGCGCAGCAAACTAGACTCGAAGGTAAAACTGGTGCTCATGTTGACGCCGAATAAATTCTGTGAGTGGCTGCTGCAAGAGGGCCTCTTGCGTGCCCAACAGCACTGCATCAATCATCGCAACAATGAGTTGAAATTGGGTGAGTGTGCCTACCGCGGCAGTGAATACGAGATTCCCATGTGATTTGTGTTTTTGGTTACAGGCGTTTACTCTGATGTATCCAAGTTTCCATATACCGGCGGCTATGTGTGGATCAGTGAATGCTGTCCTTATCGTTTTGTCTCCGTCTTTAATAATTCTATTTTCGAGGGTGCTCAGCATCCACCCACTTTTTTGCTAAAACTCATCTACCACTGGGCATGTCAGACAAGTATTCAAAACGTGGTGCAGTGGGTTAAGGTGGATAGTGTGTATATCAAGGGTATATACACTTGGTTGCGCGCAATTTGCACATTAGCCGTGCATCAGAAATGCAAAAAACTGGGTGGTCCCGGTAAATTTGTCGAAGTACGTATGATATAAACTTTCCTTGGATGGTTTTTAATATCGTGTGGTGCACTTTGCAGGTCGGCGTAATTTCGCTGGGTACCACTTCACAGGATGGTGCACAGCGTCAGGTTAAGGTGGAGGTATTGGGCGTCTATGACTATGCGGATAAGTCTATACGGCTGCGTGCTGTGGAGCCCATTACTGATGGGGACCGAAATTATAAGAAACGCTTCCAAGCAATACTCGAACCGCTATCCCGTTGGGTCCATAAGGACAGTACCATTTGCATTGATTTGACTGTGGACAAGATTACGCTATTTGGTATGGGATTTAAGAATATTGTTCAGGCAGCAGCTACGGATAATACGGCGAAGCATAACAATTCCGCGGTCATGGAGTATCTTCGTCGCATTGTGCCGCGCATGTTCCAGAACACATTGTCACTGCTCTCGCGGCAAATGATACAGCAGTTTCTTGACGAGCTTGTATGGCGCGAGGCTTTTGGCACTTACGCACTGCAGGCATTCAATAACATCATCATACACATTGCCGAGCAGACGCGTTTTATCACAAACGAGACCATAACCCAACGCCTATATCAGGTAAGTGTGTGCATGTTGTATTGATTGATTATGCGACGATTGAATATTTTTGTTCTTGCCACAGGTTGCTACCAATCCGTTTAAGGATTGGAGCGTGCTACCGCCCAACTACAAGGAGACGCCAGCGAGCACAACGCCAAAGCGCCTCAAGAAACGTTAGTACATAACTTGCTGCCAAAGCAGAAATAATGCTTGCTTACCTATTCAATATGTATGTTAATAGAAAAATTAAGTAGGCCAGGCCCATGAACATTTTTTATAATGTACGCCATTAAAGCGTCTGTATGTTTGTCACTCCAAAGCATTCATTTTATGTAAAACCACTCAGGTCTATTTGTTGTTAATGTTTTACAATATGTTAACATATCTAGTCTTAAATGAAACACATTTTCCAGTACCGCATGTTTTTTTTTTAATCTCATTTCGATATCGAAATAGTTTTCATTTTGCAAACATTAAGTAACTTTATAAGAAATAAAAAAAAAAAACAATGTAAACGAAAATACAAACATGTTAAATTTTTATTTTGCTTGTATTTTGATTTGGAGTGACAGAACATAAAAAAAGAACCTTTTCTATAAACAAAATATTTGCGCTCAGACAACTGAACCGAAAGAGAGCCAAAAAAAAAAAAACTTAAGAAAAATTACTGCTGAACTGTGGAGGTACCGCGTTATGATACCAGAACCAAATTCGTCCTACATTCATATAAAAAGAAAAGATCCGCATTTAAAAATGTGGGATTACTTTCAAGGATTTCATGAGATTTGAAAACAATATAACACTTGAGAGCTCATATAGAGTCTTGGCCCATTGAAAACTGTACTTGGCCGTTGTATCCATATAATTAAATTTATAATCAATTGAACTATCTAAGCTAACGGCTAAAGCTTCGCAAGGTATTTAGGCAGGCATTGTTTTATGTAATCGTCGGTGATGTTACCAATAATTCACCTTTAATTCACAGCTATTTCCGACGCTGATTACATGAGTTCTGGCAAGGAAACGACTTCAAAACCGGTCAAAAAAGAGAAGGAACGCGAAAAGGAGCAAATTGTTTTGCCTGCTGGTAGCAAGCGCCGCGGAGCCAACATACCACCACCAGCCCCTCCATCGAGTAAGAGCGTTGTAAAAGCCTCGACTACTAAAGGAAATACAAAGGGAACTGCGGCAAAGGCTACAGTGGCGGCAGCTTCAGCTGCTCGGGTACTTCTGAGTAAAAAGGCAAAGGAAGTCGAAAGCAAACCCCAAGTGGTTATTAAAAAGGAAGAGGATGAATTAAAGGGGCTGGAGGAGTTATACTACGGCGTCAGCGATGGCATGGATGAGTTCTTCGAGCTCTTCCCTTACTCCACGCCGCGTTCGACTCAAAGCGGTGTGGTGGCAAAAAATGTCGACTGTCCCATTTGTCTGACCGAGCATTTTGATTCGAATGAAAAGCTACAAACTCATCTTGTTTCCCATATTTCACCTGAAGGCAAGCAGCATCAGTTCCAGTGTTTGTTTTGCTTGGAAAAGCATGCCACGGAATCTGTTTTGGCGAAGCACAATCAAATAATGCACCCCACTGAAACGAAGACGGATGGTTCGCCCTCCTACTATTGTCTAATTTGTCAGCAGCGTCATAATTCTTTGCATTTACTGACGGGACATTTGCAAAAGATTCATAGCACATTGGAGCTGCCTTATTGGTGTCAGGCCTGTGGATACCGCTCTTCCTCGCATCGTGATTTAGTGCGACACTTTTACGACGATCATAAGCGGCAAAACTTTTTGCAGTGTCCCTATTGTTTGGATGTAAGTAGTATTAGTGAATTTAAATAATTAAAATTAAATGTATTTTAGATTTCTCATGAATAACCCTTCAGATATTATATAATTTTAGCTTTCACTTCAGTATATACTCTTGTATTGGTACCTTCAATACTTAACTTTTGAAATTTATATTCTCCATTCTAGATTTTTTACTTCTCGCATCATGGCAAGCTGAATTCTCTTCGGATTGAGCATTACTTTATGCATCTGTATGATCATGTGAATAAACATGATAATTCATTGCGATGCCAGAAATGCTCATTAAGCTTCCTGGAGAAGGGTGATCTGAAGCAGCACACAGTTCAGCATCACATAAGCATGACGAAGACAAATAAACCCGTGCGTATGTTGTTGAACAATTCGCTTTTGATACCACCGCCGAAGGTGAAGACTCATCATCGGGAGCAGCCGCCGTTTACGCAATATAGAAAGCCCGTTTTCTTTGCCTTCCTTGAGGGCAAAACGTGTGCCGAGTGCAATTCAGACTTTGCCAGCGAGGAGACTCACTTCACGTAAGCTCGTTTTTATATTTGAATGGGGAGGGCTTTAATAAACTTTGTTGCTACATTTACAGCGGGTGGTTAAAGTGTGTCAAATGCAACTATCAGACGTGCTGCGAACGCGCCCAATTCCGTCATGGGGTTGACTGCAATGGAAACTTCGTGGATGCCATGGAGGTGAACATGCCGCAGGAGATGCATTGCATTTGTGGTTTTGCCACCGGCAATGGTAACAAGATGGCACAGCATTTGGCCGGCTGTGGCCTGAGCACATGTTATAGTAGCGTGGAGGCTGCCAGCGAGAATGCTGTGAAGCGTAATATGTTGGACATGTTGGGTCTGGTGCGACGCGATGGTGAAGCACCCGGCGAGGGCGGGGAGGTTCCTGCTGATGAGCCACTTGACGAGAATAACGATATGTCACCTGTAACCGAGCAGCAACAGCCCATGCAGCAGCAACCGCAAGCAGAACAACAAGAAGAGGAACCCCAGCAAGATGATCTGCAGCAATATATGACGGCTGAACAGGAAGATCAACCAGAGCCGGTTCAACAAACTACACTTACACATCTGGCCACATCCAGTGTGGATTCCGAAGCTGTTGATGCGAACGATCAAATGTCCGCTGATGACATTGTCGTCCAGCAGGCACCGATACAATTTGGCGAGCTGGAAGCAGCGCCCGTGCTGCTTGATCCCCAGCAAGCACAATCGGCTGACTATGCGCAAGTATCCGTGGTACAACAGCACCAGTCCCAACAGTCCTATGGCTTGGGCTATAGCCAAAGTGCGCTATCTACCGACATTGATATGCCACTCATTGGTGAATTGACGGAGCCAAATGCACCACCCACACCGCAATTTCTGGGCGAAGTCCACACCCCCATGTTTGATGCCGTGGCAGCCGCTGAGCAGCAGCATTACCATCACTCCCAACACCATGGACAATGATATAAAACGACACAGCAGCCGCAACAGGCGCGGGGCCGTATGAAACCGCGCGATTATACTTTGCACTGGCAGAATTACTAGCTACATGCAATTTACAGGTAGGCAGTTTATCTTATACTTTTTATTGCGTTTATTCAAAGTATAAATTTTGCTGAATTTAAGTTTGTAAATTTTACAAATCGCAAACAATGGGGCAATATTCGGTTTAAAAAGTAGTACACCAGTGTTGGAGGAGATTAGTTTATAACGGCTTACATTGTTCGATTAGTGAAATAGGAAACTATTAATTTGTATTCATTGAAGTAAAATTCTCCCGATATCATTTGTCATTCTCCATGTCTCTCCATACCATTGCTACGTCTGTTAAAACTTAGCATAAGTCAGTTGTAAAAGTGAAGCCCCAGAATAAAGACCTAAACGTATTAATATTGGACCATTTGTGTGCGGAGTAAACCTCCTAAATAAATTGGAAACTGCAGAAGCCAGTGGTGTTGCCAAGGAAGTGGCTAACAAACCAGCTTCAAGCCGAATAATCCAATCGTTGAACGATTTTGTATATTGTTTACGAAAATAATAAAACTCGTAAAATGAATCATATAATACTTATAAAACCAGTAAAATGCGTGCGTTTTATTATCATAAAACAACAACGCATATTATAGCATCGTATGAATGTATAATTAAACTTACCGCATATGTAAACATTCTATTAACCAAGAATGCTTGTGTTCTATATCGACTTAAATATTATACAAATGACAGTTGTATATTTTAAATTACATTACAATTTTAAAGGAGACATCTGTATCGTAAATATGAATATTGCACAAAATATTGTACATGTAAAACACGAGAAAATAGGACAGAGAGTAAAACTATAAAAAACAAAAAATATTAAACTTCAATATCAATGTACACTGTGAGTTTGCCGTGGAATATTGTCTCCTTTTATGGAATACTTTGTTTGCGACGGGAGAGATTGCATTTGAATTAGAGTGTCATTTTTGCTGTTGTTGTTGGCGCTGCTTGGACTTCAACAGTGCGGATAGCACTAGAGCTGTGTCAAGCTCTACGGCTGTTCCGGGCTCATTATCTAGCGAGATTTCATTGGCGCGCTCGTGAAACCTTGCCAGCACCCGTGGACGATAATCTATAAAAAAAAAAATGGGTATAAAATTCGCTTTTTATGAAGCATTTGGTTCTAATATTTTAATTAAATATAACTCATAAAATAATGAAATTGTGAGAGAATCAATAGAAAATATAAATATAAAGCAAAGGTTATCATTGAAGAAGAATATTAATTTAATTTCTTACTCTCTAAAAGTTACTATTAGTTAAAGTTTTGTCTATGAAAAAAAAAATAATAATCATTATTTGCAATCCCTAAAGTTAGTTAGTTAACCTTTTAATTAAAATTTTTTAACACAAGCTTCGCATAAAGAGAACTTCAAATGAGCCATTACTTACCTACACTGCCTGCCAGAGGATTTCCGGTTAATCGCAAAGTTTCTAGGAGCGGCAGCCCAGCCAAGTGATCCACTTCATCGAGCAGCTCAATCAGGTTGCAGCTCAAATCCAAGTTTACTAATGAGAGCAGTTTACGCAACCCACTAAGTTCCTTCAGCTTGTTTTGGGCCAAATTAAGCGTTACCAGATTGCCCAATTCCAGATGCCAATCCACACATTCGCCTATTAAATTTACGGACAAGGACAACACTTGCAAATGAGGAAGCTCGGAGAGGTTTTGAATGGTGCGTATACGATTTTGTTCGAGCAGCAGACATCGGAGTTTTGGCGCCGTGCGCACACTACCATCAATTTGGGTCAGTAGATTTCCAGTCAGATCGAGTTCGGCTAGATTACTCCATGAGTCGGTGCTTAGAAGGGCGGCCTTGCTCGTTGCGGCCACTTCGGACACAATCCCAGGGGGCAGGACACTGGGCACATCGCAGGCCTTATGCAAATTATCACAGAGCAATACCTGATTGATGTGAGTTATTGTTGTGTTGTGGACCCGGATTTGTTCCAGACTTGGCTTTAGCTGCTCAATGTCTACAATGTTCTCTGTGCTGAGTGCCGAAAATTTCAAGGTCTTTAGCTGACGAAATGCATTCAAATTGAAGCTTAACCGATTGGGTATTATGTTACTTCGTCCAATAGGAACATCGACAGCATTGTAGTCCCCAAAACTGGCGTTCTCCTTGCTGGGAGTAACTACAAGCACCGCTAGTTGCGAGCAAAAATCGAGTACATGGGAGAAATCAAATTTGCCTCGTTCTTCAATGTTGCAGCTCTGTGGCGGGCAGGGCAAGCTCAGGCGTTCGCTAATGGCAAAGACCTGCAAAAGAAAACATAAAGAATGAAAAAACTTGGTTTTATTTTTGTAAATGTTCAAAATATGTCTTATTACATATGTGCATGTTGGTACTTTGAACGCGACTTAATAAAATGCTCGGGATGCAACTCCCGCTCGCGTTTCTTGTTCATAAACAATTTAAATAGTTTATATAGCAAAATTATGCCAAGCAGCTTCCGCTGCACAATGGTGAATTCGCGCCGCACAACACCAAAGTAAGCGCCCTGCCGACGATTAGTTAAATGATTCATGCCCAGTGCATCGATCATTGCTGCCTCCCGTGTGTGCGCATCGTCGGAGCCAATGTTACGAAACCCCCGGAGTAATAATACGCCTCTTTGTTGCCGCCAAATATCTAGGATGAGAGCAAGCTTGGGATCCCTGGCCAATCTCACTCGCCCGGCATAATCAAGCGTTAGATTTGGTCGCTCTTTCTGGAATAGTTGTAAGGCCTGCCTCAGGTGGACATATGGTCGCGCTGCCTTACCTTTCCCGATATAGAATATGGCTCGCAAGAACGTATACCATACATCGAGCATATGCATACGAACACAGCGCTGTCTTAATTCATTAGTGATGCGAGGATCCAGGAGTAAATAATTAAAATATGGATGAACTTGATCCTTTTGCCCTCGGCTGTACCAATTAATGTGCTTTGTGGCATATTTTTCTAAATTTTTGATATCATTAAAGTGTCGGTCCGATATAAGTGTACGATTTAATTCCACGGAAAAGTTACTGCGATGTGGATGTACAACGCCCAAAACATACTGAAAGCTGCGAATAAAATTCTTGCATTGATCGCGTACTAGTTTAGGAGAAAGAAAAGGTCTGTCGCCAAAATGAATGACGTTCTTAAATAATACAAAAACTGCTAATTTGGCCATGGTTAAAAAATATTAAAATTTAAAAGTTAAAATCATAAAATATAAAAACCTGTGTAAAAGTACTACATTAAAATATAACAAAATACTGACATAATGAGCTAGGCTCACAAGGTAAATCAACATAATAAACATACCTCCAGCGCTGAGAAATTATACTCCTTTCTGGCACTCAATAAAGCATCCCCGCATTCGTTAAACAGCTTTGCAAGGTCTTGTAGCAAATAAATTATGTCGTATTTATTAAACTCCAAAAACTCAGCCAGCACCTGCGGCAGTTGGGTGCGGAAGTGGATGAGTAATTCCTTCAAGTATTTCTCTAGTTGTTCGCGGCGGGTTTCCAGAAATGCAGGCTGCTTATTCCCAACCAGCTAAGCAAATCAGAAAAAGTGAAGATTAATAGTGTGTGTAGAAAGTGGGCGTTCCCTGCATTACCTTCTTGGGTGGTAACAACTTTCTGCTTGAAGGTTCTTCTAGTTTTTCGTTTAGCTGGGCAAAATCCTTATAGCGACGCTCCACCAGCCACTCGACCTGGGCTACCCGCACCTTTATGTCATAGTATGTTATACCCGTAGAGGATTCTATATATCTTGGAATTGTAACTTCGGTATCGTCATGCTGGCGGTAAAAGCAAGCCATTTTGCTGGCGGTTTTTGAGAGAGTTAAGCTTTTTTATTTCATTTGACGCAATATTTCTTGCAAATTCACACGTATAAACACCTTATGCTAATTTGTTAATTCGTTTAGTTGAGCCAGCATCAGCTGCTTGTGCGGCTTTTAGTGTGACCAACAATCATCGTACTAATCTATTCACCAGCTGCAGAAAGTATGGCAACGCTTTATCGGCATTTGTTTACAATCGTACTTGTTGGCATTTTCGGCGAAAATCAAGCCGTTTATTCTAACATTTTGAAGGGCTGAATAAAAATATATAGCCAAGCTTGACATGTGCTTGGTCCTGGCTAAACTATCGAATATCGCATAATCATCTGGAAGCGACGTACACACAAATCGTGCCTAATATGGCATTTATTGGTGACTGTGTGATTGTTTTTGTTTCGCAGGCAAGTGTTCTCGCTCTCATATTGGGCTTCAAATTTATGCTAATATGTACATATATTTTTCTCACCCAGATGTTCTTTTTTGCTGGAGGCTGGCTGTTTTTCAATAAACAACTGTTTAAGCACTATGAAATACGCCACATATCCGTGCAGCTCATTTTCTCGTCCACTTTTGCGCTTTCCGTGACCATGTTTGAGTTGATTATATTCGAAATAATAGGCGTGTTGGAGTCTAGTTCACGCTACTTTCATTGGCGTCTGGGTCTGACTCTGTTGCTGTTCATGGTCACGGCTGTGATACCGATTTATATTTGCTACTCTGTGATACACAGCATTTCATTTTGTAAGAGGAAGTCATTATCAATTCACAAAGATTTAATATAGATTGTTTTTTTCGGTACAGTTTCCGACCGGTGGGTGCGCATATTAACTACACTCTGTTGGTTTGTGTTCCTCTATGGCCTCTGGCGCATCGGCGAACCATTTCCGCTGCTCAGCGCCTCCCATGGCATTTTCACCATAGAACAGGGTGTGTCTCGTATTAGTGTGATTGGCGTTACCGCCATGGCGATACTCTCCGGATTTGGTGCAGTTAACTATCCGTACACTAGTATGACATATTTCATAAAGTAAGTCCATATTATCTCTTCAACATATTTTTATGAACGTGTATTTGTGTGCCATTAACGCAGGCCCGTTTTTCGGAATGACATCATATGCTTCGAACGGCGCCTCGCCTTAACTGTGGACATGCTGACGGCTAAAAAACGACGCATAGCCATGGCTACATATAATCACAATAAGCAGCATCCCACAAAGCCAAGAATATGGGAAATGCTGACTTCTGCTGTGCAGCGGGGTCACACGAATGGGGAAGGTGAGTTGATGTTGAGTCGATCAGTTGTACTTGTATGTACTCCTTATTTTACTCTCTGCAGACATAACACAGCTTAAGCAAGAGGTCTATGGCCTCGAGGAGCTGTTGCGTTCGGTATTTCTCGAACTCAGCTCTCTTAAGAACATGGAGGAGCGACAGCGTTGGTCTCAAACGCTGCAGGGAAAATATTTTAATGTAATTGGTCACTTCTTTAGTGTCTACTGTGTATATAAGATTTTTATGGTGCGTAAATTAGAGTTTTGTTATAATGCCATAATCACATGGACATATTTTCAGTGCTGCATCAATATTATTTTTGATCGCGTGGGTCGCAAAGATCCTGTTACTCGCGGTCTGGAGATAGCCGTGCATTGGTGTGGCTTTGACATAGACTTGGCTTTTTGGAATCAGCACGTTTCCTTTTTGCTTGTAGGCTGTATTGTTGTCACTTCCATACGCGGGTTGCTGCTCACTCTTACAAAGGTTTGGAAACTTGTACTCCCATTTGCACCTATATATTATTTAATTGTTTTTCAGTTCTTTTATCGCATTTCATCCAGTAAATCGTCCAATATAATTGTGTTAATTCTGGCACAAATTATGGGAATGTACTTCTGTTCTTCAGTACTGTTAATGCGTATGAATATGCCAGCCGAATATCGGGTTATCATTACCGAAGTGCTGGGAAATTTGCACTTTAATTTCTACCATCGATGGTTCGATGTTATATTCCTGGTCAGTGCACTGTCCACAATCATTGTTTTGTATTTGTCTCGGAAGCCAGTACGCGTCGATGAGTCCGACTTACAATGAATTGAATGGATAACATCCGTGAGTACATTTTAAGGCACAATTGATTTATTTGTTAAAGCCAAATCAGTTGAATATTTATCGCCACAGATGCAAGCGTTAAGTTATAAAATCATACATATGTATGTTAATTTCTTACACCTATGCCAGTGTGTATATGTATATTTTGTCTAAGTATGAATCCATGTACATTTATTTATACGCACAAAATCAAAGTTTATCAATTTAAGTAAATTAAAGCAACGGACTGTTTTAGCCATCCATAAGGCCTCCTGTGGGTGCCTGTGGTTTTAAGCCTATGCAAATTATTAAAATTGTGTACACAATTTTGGAGAACTAAAATTTTTTATTGGCGGTCTCCTCGGTGCGGCGAAGGTTGTGTAAACAAACAGGTCCGGTTGATGTTAATGGCAGTTGCTGCCATTTTGGGCAAATACACGCCACAGGATTCATTTTAAACATGTTTACACAAAACTAATAGCACGGCGCGTCGTTAAAGGATGGGCTTAGGTGGTGAAAATATACCCAGTATTTTGTTTGAACTTTGTTTTAAAAACCGTTAAAAAGCTTCCAAATGCTTTAGCAATGAAATAATTGGAAAGCTTTTTGTGCAAGTTTTTAGGATTTTAGGTTACTGAGTTCAAGAGTCATTTTGGTAGGCCCGGCTCATTACTGAGTCATTCGTTTGAATAACTGGAATGAAACTGAGTGACTTTGCGGGGCTGATTAACAGTATTTTAGTATTTGCTGCTGTGTTTCTATGGCAATGTTTTGGATAGAATGTTAGATATTGCATTCATGTGAGGAAAGGCAAGGAAAGAAGTTCGGGTCTTTGGTGGGTTAAGAAAATTCTTTAAAATGAGCCAGGCATCATAGTTACATGAGTGGTGGCACGCTTGGACAATCATATATACATCTTAAAAGCATGCTACATGAACTGTTCACAAAGGTAGACATTTTAAAGTAATTCTTGAAACAATAGTCCATTTACTTTAGGTAACTTGAAAGGTCAAGTACGGGTTGATTTCTTCGGGACGAACGAAAATATAGTTCCATACTAGGAACGTATTCGGTAGTCTAGTATTATATTCTTGACTTTATTTCTCGAATTCGTGACATGCTTTAATGTTTGCCATTCATATTAAATGCTGCTATTTAAAATTCGGCGCGACCGACTACAAGTGTCCTACATTTGGGAAACCTAAAAAAGCGAGCGCGCATAAAAATGCAATTTGAATTAAAGCAGCAAATGTTTTTTAAAATGCACAAGTGCCTGAGCTTAAAAAAGATGCGAATTCAAACATCATACGAAATGTACTACTCGCCTGTAGGATCAGGGGGGTGCCTACACATAACATACATACATATGTACAAGGGCGTAGGAAGGGGGGGCCCCAAAAAATTAAAATTTTGATTAAATAATGGACGATGCATTTAACAAATAACTTATGCATATGATCAATGAAAAAAATTCAACAAATCCAACTCAGATCCGTTTTAAGACGAAATAGTGCGTCATAATGAACGTGTGGTCGACTTTATATGGCAACATTTTTTGTAGGGGCCAACGCCCCCAACCCCCCTCCCCCTGCCTACGCCCTAGCATATGTATGTATATGTAAACCTTCGGCAACACGAGCAGCAACCCAGCCAGGATGGGCAGCGCGGCCGCGAGAATTGGCAACAACTTAATGGCATGCTTCATGCGCGCACATTTGTTGTGAAAAACACCATTAAAACATTGCGGCAGATAAAACTTTGCGAAAAGCATTTGAGTGTCTAGATGAATAAATCATGATACAAAAATGATTGAAGGGCACAGCAGCGACCACGCATCGGTATTTCAATTGGGTGGCAACCAATGCAATGGTCCAAATGCATGCATGTGTGTGTGTGTGTGTATGACATAAATGGCGGAACATGTGAGCACATCAAGCTAATCAGCTCTACATTTTGTAAACGGCAAATTAATTAGAACTTTGTAACGAGGCTACGAGATCAGGTTGCCACACAAATGCGAGCCTTTCTTTGCCCAAATGTAGAGAGACACACATCTGGTGTTTACCTTATTGATTTAATTGATTAGTGATTGATATTGGCTTTATTCCCATAGCTCAGAGCTGGCTTGATTGCCATTATGCAAATTTGCCAAGCACTTGATTAGCATTTGCTTTACATTGCGTATACGCCCCGACTGTGAAATAATTAACCATGCTTCTGACAGATTATGACACAGCCGGCAGAGGCAACCACCTCGAAATATGGCAGCCCCTCTCTTGCTAACAATTTAATTAATTTTCATGTTTACTTCTTCATATTGTGGGGTGTTCTTTTTTGCCGGATTGACAACAAGTTGACTTAAAGGATGCTTTGTGCCAATTCTTAAGAAGCAGGAAGACATCCACCCAAATATATATTTAGCATATTTTGCGTTTGACTGTTGACCTTGGTTGGAAGGTGCGATAGCTCACGTTTCTTTTGTGTCTGTCCTCAGGGTAAGGCGAGATTTGCATAGATTTTCTGACAAAGTCGTCTCAGGAAGGATGTGCAAATTATGCAATAGCGTTAGGGATTTAAGATAATAGCGCAGCTCTGAAGTGAAAGTAGGAAGCCAAACAGCAGTAAATGGTAGCTTTAGGTAAACAGGGTTTAAGTTATGAGCTATTGCCGGATACCTCAATAATTAATTGAAGCAAGAAACTATAATTGATTGAGTCTACGCTGATATCTTTTTTGTTAATCTCTTAATATGATAAAATGTATTCCGAATAAGTAATTTAATTAAAAATGTTAATCTTAATTTTTTCTTTATAAAACCTATAATAACTTGTAATATTATTTATAAGTTATATCAGATACTTATTTACAGCGATTTGACGAATCACCACTTGCTATTCATTCATTAACTTTTAGGATACAAGTCCCATTAAAATCAATTTAGCCCTACTCCCAAATACAGTCAGTAGACTAATTAGTGGTATACATACTTTTGACTTCTTCAGGTGCAGAGCCATGTGCCCAGCTCTCATTAGCAGGCAACACACAATTAAAGCGCTAGAGAACTGCAGAGAGCTATCGGGGCAATAAAAGCATTTATAATTATAACATTCATTACGAAATCAAAGCTATTAATGCTTAATGGTCAATGCACAGTGAAAATCAATAGTGTGTAGAGGTACTCTTCATTAAGAGGAAGGTAAAGAGCATGGAAGAAACAGTAGGAGCAAGTCGAAACTACCAGTGTTTTTCATTTGTGTGCTTTTGCAGTAGCTGACTCAAATGAGGTAGGTAGCTGATATTGGAACTATTAATCTTATAGTGCCCCCTGTCAGTGCTGATGAATGCCTTAAAGTGCGCATGACCTTTGATTGACGGTCAAATTTCGCATTGCCATAAAACGAAGGTAGGACATTTTGAATCCTTCCAATCAAATTATTTGCCATATAAAAAATTAAGTGCACTGCAGTGAAAGCGCGACTTAAATTGGTCAAACAGGGTGAATCTAAGGTTCGAATTTGATTGATTTTGATTTTTGTTTTTTTTTGTATATACTTCATATATCTACAATATATTAATTACCTATAACTTAAGTCTTAAAGAAATGCAATTTCATTTGAATTTTTTAATTATACTGGGAATAAAAGTCAAAGAATGAGGAAATGCATTTTACAACCATTCTTTCAATTGTTAACATTTTACGAGTTTTTGAAAATACCAATCGAAACCATCGCCTTCATATAACATCGTTGAAATGCGATGCTTCGCATTGCTGCGCTAAGGAACATTCCTAGTTTTCCCAATTCGCAGCACCCTGTTTTTCGACTGCTGCATAGTAATTTTACCGTTGGCGCCTGTTCGCTTTGATATATGACAGGCCATGTACTTGTTAGCCTGCATATGTATGGGGCACTCCCAATGGAACCAGCTGTGCACAATCATGTTGTTAATAATGTTGATGATGGCGGTGTGGAAGAGGCAGCAGCATAGGCAGAGATCAGGAAAAGCCATTGATGAAAATTCAATACATCTGTATATACATGTAAAAACATATACTATATGTGTACTAGCTATAGAGGACAACAAGAAATATTGCAATATTATATAAGAGGGCTTTAACAACTGGAACAACTGTGTAAATACATTTATGCATACATATCATGTATATTTTGATTGCATGCAAGAATGTGCGTGATCGTAAAACACTAAAATAACCGTGAAACTCCAGACCTGTAAACGATTCACGACTGATTCTTAGGAAAATGTTGCTTATATATAACTTTTTTTTTAATACCACGAATATCGATGTTATTGAAATGAGAATTGGGTTGCCCAAAATGCAAAATATAATAAAGTCTAAAAGTATTTAAAAAGGGAACATCGTAATTAAGGCTTTCCAAAATTGTTCAAATCATCCTAAAGATTTAGCTGTGAATTTGTTTACAACAGTAGTTAAAAAACACAGTGAACCACAGACAATAAGTAGAGCGGACGAACTTATTTAAATAAAAGCAAACTATAGAAGTACTAGAAGGACAATAGCGTTTTAGCACTCTTGACCACACTTTAGGATAAACCTTAAATTTATTTATGAATACAATATATATTGTTTTTTTCTAATATTTGTCTCCTGTTTGTCGCCTCATAGAGGCACGATATGGAGCCGAAATGTGTAGAAGGATTTAGGTAAATAATTCAGTTATAGATATAAATAACACAATCGTTTGAATAACAAAGGTATATAAATAAAAACGTATTATATGTGCACATTCAATAATGATAAATACCTAAATTATGGTAGAGCATTGTTCTTTTTATAATAATTATTTATTTGTAATATTTCTTGTGTACAATGAAGGCAATTATATTCTCGTATTGTAGATGAATTGTTAAGAAATCGGTTTCTGTATTTAAAAAAAAAAAACAGGAAAAATGTTTTCAATGTTCCGAATGAAGAAGTATCATAAATAATTTTAATAGAAATTTTATTGAAAATTAACAAACAATTGCTTCGTGAGTGTTCGTGAGCGTGACGTCATGCTCGCAGCCCTAATTCTATTAATGTATGTAAAGGGCAGCCATCATTTTGTTACGTACATATGCTGTTTGGCTCTGAAGGATATTCTGGCCAGCATGCACCCACTCGCAGAGTGCGGGCAGAAAGGGATTTGGGAAATGGCGCTAGGCGTTGCTGTCCTATAAAATCTATTTATCGATGGAAAGATGGCCCACCTTCCAAATATACACGCACATATGTTAGTACATAGATACATACATATGTATGAGGGGCAATTGCACTTGTTTATTATGCATGTCGCCATGTCTCTTTCATTCACTTTTTCCTGCTCTCATTCTTCCGCTTTGTGCCAAGATTATTGCTCTATTTTGCGCTTCAATAATTCTTGCAACGGCATCCTGCCCCCAAGTACAAGCGCTTGCCAAAGTTTAATACGTATGTGTGTGGATGTGGCTGTGCATGTGTTAGTGGGTGTCTCATAAAAGTGTCATAAATGTTGATAAGGCATGTTTGTCAGGCTCTGCCACCCCTTTTTCTCCGTTCACCCCCCTACACTTCCGTCCGCCGCACACCTGGACCCGCTGATTGTTGAAAGTATTGAAGCTAAGGCTGGGATTGGGTCGAAGGCGTTTTGCCAACTTGTTTGCCTTGATAAATGCATTGCATGATTTTCATCAGATTGTTTTATTACCGTAAATGCTAACACACACTCAGACATACACACACACAGCTGTTGCCACATAAATATATCTGCTCTGTGAAAAATTGCAAACGATTATGATTTGCATTACAATTTGTAGCTTCAGGTTTTGAATGCTTCTCTATCCAAATGAAATCCAACAAGACGAAACGACCAAATCTTTTTGGACAAATTACGGCCAATAAGTTTTGGAACAACTTTTCAATTTTTTGAATTATGTGTTGGAAAAAGTTCAAAAGTTGCGCTATTGGCCGACAGCAAGAATCAATGCAGCACATATTTTACTTTTAGGTGGAAATTTAAAAAGTTGTATTTGGTAGGGTAATGCTGTTTTAATGGATAAAAAAGCTGGTCGGGAAGCTGCAAATAACAGAAGAATAAAACACCATAAACACAAAGTATCGGGGGGATGTCAGGATCTGTTTTTCCTATACATATGTATACATATAAGACAATCATTTCTCAACGTGTTGTAAATACATAAATCCTTCTGTTGACGCCAAAAGCTGATATAATTTAAATTCACATTAATTCCTCATGGCCGGGAGAAAATTTTTAGGTAAAGAAGATGCCTTGCTATAATTATTAGTGGTATTGTAAACAGATTTGAATTACTTAACCGATATTTCATTGTTTATGTAAATAGCTGACTGATAACCCATGAATGTAATTGAAATGTAACAGATATCGATGTATTGGAGTTGTATCGATAAAAGGCACACGCCCACACCTAGGCTAAGCATTATCATTAGAAAAAAACTCGTTTCCGACTTAGTCAAATTAGCAGCCAATCGGAAGTTGCGGAATCACCTTCTTTGAAATCTTCAACTTGTTCGAGTGTGTGTTTATGTCGTGTCTGACTATTTTTTAAGACATTCTTCTTTTTATTCTCTGTACATGAAATCATGATCTCGGAGACTATAAGAGCCGTTGCCCCCCCTAGAAAATTGTATGCCATATAAAGTCGATCACACGTTCATTATTATGGCGCACTGTTTCGCCTTAAAATGGATCTGAGTTCGATTTGTTGAAGTTTTTTCATTGATCATATGCATCAGTTATTTTTGTAATACATCGTGCATTATTTAATCAAAAGTTTAATTTTTTGGCTCCCCTCTTTGGTAAAAGCTGCCTACGCCCTTGGCTAGTGACACAAAATTTTGCAGAACAAAGCATCTATGTGCAAGTTTGTTCTATGTCTTTGATTTTCACCCACTTCTCCCCTATGGAGGATTACCCGATAATCGCCTATATCTCAGAGATTACAAAAGCTTGGGACACAAAATCTTAGTCCAGGATGCCTTATGTGAATACGCAGAAAATGTGTATTTCGAATTTTCCCTCCTTCCCCCCTCTCCAACGCAATCACTGATTTTCCATAGCTCCCGTATTTCTTGAAATTTTTCGAAAAATACCTCCAGTTAGTGATTATGAGTCCAAGTCTGCCAAGTTTTATAATGACAGGCCGATTTAACTGGAAGATATATGCATGTATATACGTTGTTACTGCTTTGCACAGGCACACGAGACACACACAAACATGCACATACACGCATAATTATTCTACACATATGTACATATGTACAGAGTATTTCAAAGTCGGGACACCCGATTTTAGCTTCTCTACTTGTATTTTAATGTGATCTGATTATGTAATAATTTAAAATGAAGACAGGCTATGGCCCGGCTCAAAGATGTGGTGATAAGTGATGTTTTTCGCGAGAAAAGGCATAATTCCAAAAGTTTACAAATCACACAATCATCTGTTCGGCAGAAGTTCTATGTTTAAGAAGAAGCTGTTTCTGGATCGACTCAATCAGTATTGATGTATTTTACATTAGGACACCGAACACATTTGATAACATATTCTTACAATATATACTCGCATTACATAGCAAATGAGACAGAGTCCACTAAGTCCGACAGTGAACTACCCTGTATTCATTAAATATGAATTTCTTAGCTTAGACCTGTTTCAAATAATGTTATTTTCGAAATTACAAGCATATCAACTTAGTATTTAAAACAGTTGCTCGTTCCATTGGACCCTTATCGACAGCTTTTGTCTTTTAGCCACCTATAAGAGCAACTCGTTACTTTTAATCAACCTTAATGCCACAGAATGGAGATGTGTTAAGGCAGAGTCGATTTAATTTGCATAATTCCGCCGTTAATGACACAGGATGGGCGATCGCAGTCGAAGGGAGTCTGTGTTTCGTTGATTAAAAAAGAAAATGATACTGTTTATCACAATGATGATTGCCATAAGACCATAAAGCTGCGCTCTTTGTCCAGCCGAAGGTTTCCTCACGTACGTGTGCTTCATAAATGAACTCAAAGCGAGTGTGTAGCTTAATAATTTGTGGAATTTATAACTGAAAGTGTGGCATTGGAAATAAAGTTGCTAACTGTCGCATATTAAGCGAAAGTTGGTTTAGCGCACATAGAATGTCAAATGTACATTTATAAGCATACATGCAGGCATACATACATACGTTTGCGTACTTTTTATATGCACATCAGCATACATAAACACTACATATATATGCTAAATAAACTGTGCCATGCTGACACACTTTAAAGTGCAAACAAAGCTGTGGCCGTGTCAACGGGGCGTATGCGTGACGCATGCACAACTTTTTGCAAAACTTTCAACTGTGGCCCCAAATTTATATTTTAATTTGAATTAAATTTGCATACATTAAATGTCGAAATCTGGTACAATTGTAGTAAAAGTATCTCACACTTGAAACGTCCCTCAAATGCGAAAGAATGCATTCAAATGATCACCGAAATTATTGAAATTGTACAGCGGCTGATCCGGCTCCCTTTTAATCAGCATTAACAGACCCCAGGAGCGGCAGCAAACCACGGTCATGTTGGACAGCAGCAACAGCTTGAAAAGCAAGGCCATGCCCAACTGGCAATAGATGTTGAGCAAGTGCTTGTCCTTAGCGCGTCTGCCAACGCCGAAGATCTTCAGTACAATAAAGAGGGTCGTGAGTGCCCAGCAGAATAGAAATACAATCAGATATGGTATCAAGCCCGACCAGATTCGGAAATCTAGTGGAATTTTTTCGCCAAGCTGGGAATCCTTTGAGCCGCTGAACCGGCAGCGCGAAAACCGAAAAATCGAGAACAGCACCAAAAAGATAAGTATAAAGATACTGAACTCTGTCGTGTTGCTAAAAGGCAGCATCGTGGTGTACGCCAGCAAATACTTCATGCGACTGGTCCAGAACCGATTCTGCCAACTCTCTCGCAGCACAGGCACCATCATGGCCCCGTGAACCATTACCCAGAGATAGGATGCCGACCATAGGATTCTCAGGAGCATCATCACCAAACAAGTGTACTTGTAGTTCTGATATTTAAAAGGCATCTTCAACGGAATATACTAGAAACAATAAAAATAGCGATTATGAAGCTAAAATTTTTAAATAATTTTCGTTTGCTTTACAACTTGTAAGACAGATGGCAAAATAACTAACTAACTAGTCCAGCAATAGAAGATTGTGATTTGTTTTGAGAAGGCTCCTTTGATGTTTTGTATGCATAGAATGATATACATATCTGATTTATCCATACGATCCATAAGACCAATAAAGTAAATAAAAATTGCAATTAAAATTGAAGGAAAATCCAAAAATAAATCGTCACTTTATTAGGAGAAATCAAAAAATGTATTCTTTAAAATGCAAGTAGTACTTATTAACATTCGCTTCTTAAATTCTTAACTCCTTAGTTTCTTAGTCACTCACCCCATTTCTGCATCGTTTTTGAAGATTGTCGTAATTCTGATATAAGTTATTCTGCAACAATGGCTGTCTGGCTGGGATTATTATTTCCCGTTCTGTGTGTGGTTTCGGGTTGAGTTCAAGCTCTATTCAATTTTATAACTTGTACATATACTTGCCGAATACAAATTTGATATTCAACTGTAGACACAATTATGCAAATGTTTTCTGTAGAAAATTTCGCATTCTGTATGTCATGCTGCATTATTACAGCTAATCAGCATTTAAAAGTTTAGTTATTTGAAAAAGATGCACATTCAGTTGAAATATTAAAATGACTGCTACAAAGTTAATAAAGTTAAGCCGACAACTTATATTCGTCTTCATTTTAATTTGTTTATTTGGGGGACTCAAACAAAAATGTCCCTTGAACCATGAATGGAATAATTTGGCAAAAAAGTGTGTTAAATTTTTCTTTGGCTCATAATGCCACATGAGAATGCAATTAAACTTTATTTAAAATCGCATATATAATTATAAAGGGTAAATGCGACTATTTAGAATCTTAATGGCAACTAATTTTTTTGTTAACATACAGGAACAATGGCAAAATGAGCACCTCAAAGGCAGGACAAGCGCAGCTCAACAGCATACTATTAATATAATTCATAACACTTAGAGACTTCATAAAACAACAAAAGAGGGCAAAAATATAATCAACATGAAAAATTAAGCGCCATTTTGTAAAGGCGTTGTCTGTCGAGTAGACAAAAGGGTAAGCGCTTCGACTTGGGTTCCGTGTGTGCAAAGGGCGCTTAAATCCCAATGCAATGGGTGCCCAAAGGTAAACAATAGCTAAAAAAAGGCAACTGTCCAAGGTTATTAAGCTTAGTTGAGGACTCTAGAGAGTGGCATCAAAGGATTGGACCAGACTAAGAAACTTGTCAACGTGAAGCTTATAAATAATACAATTTTGTTAGTCGTGGTTTTGACTAAGTAACGAATATGCTATACATGTTTAAATGCTTAATTTTAATCCAAAGTATTTTTTCTCCTTAAAAACCAAATCTTTGGTTCAGCTGTTAGCCCGTTAAATCACATATCTTGCTAGACACCTGATATTTCTTGCAGAAGCGACCAATCGACTCTTAAAATATAGTTTGTTTTAAGATGTGAGAAATTATTGCACATCTTTTAAAGTATATTCTGTGATGCCATATTTCCCAAATTCTGAATAAAAATTCTGAATAAATGTAATGCTAGAGTACGGACAAATGCACCCATTTCGTAATACCAATCGAGAATGTAACTGCTTTTTGCTGTTTGCCATATCTTTTTCTGAGTGTAACATAGGTTCGAGCTTAACTAATAACACTTGTTCTCGTTGGGTACTTCACATATTGAAAATATAAAATATTATCACTGTTTCTTATATTTGAGGCCAAGCTTGAAATGTAATATTTTTTTGTAATACAAGTATATATTTGCGGGTAAGTTCCCACTACGAATGATATTTTTAAAAAAAAAGTTAAGCTTTTTTGAAGAGAACAAACGCTCGATAAAAATAAAAGCCTTACCTACAACATGCTATATTCAATGTTCAGAAGTTGTGACTGTAGCTAAAGAGCATTTATATCAATCAGTGTCTCGGCATTAAACACGTGATAGTCGATGAAAAAATGTGGTCGAACAATGTGGGTAATATCCGGTCAATATAATAATGAAGCTAGCTGTAGTTATTTATAAATACCAATGGTCTGTGACTAAAAGGGTACATAATGGAGGGGGTGCATTCCAACCCTCAATCAAAACTTTCCAAAGTTGGCCCAACCGAAAAAAAGAAAGGCCGAAAAGGTCAGCATTGTCGTTTTCATCATTTCGTATGACACTTCATTTTGTTTTGTGCTACGTTCTTTTTTTTAGCTATTGTCAGGTCTCTACCCCCCGAAGCGTTTCATGCAGCTGTCAGAGTTTCCACACGAAAATCGAGTCATTTGTTGTTTAACACACACATATAGGCAAACATCCTGAAGGCAATTTCCAGTTATTTTTGTTTAATCTTGTCATGCGGCTTAAATAAAACAAAATTTATACAAAACACAGCTAAGAAGTTTTTATAGAATTTGCAATAAATCAGTTGTGATAAAAAAATTAAAAAAACCTTGTTGGAGATTATGCAAAAAGTTGTATAGCAGCATTGCCGCAACAATTAAAATTTATGCGTCCTGATTTTCATTGATATGACTATTATATAGTACTTAAGCACATATAAGTACATACACACAAATACTGCGAGTATTTTGTAAAAATGGCAGACAGGTGGCAGACCCAGTACAATCTGTCAGCTGGCCAGTGATTATGTATACAAAATTTATGATTATAGGGCGTGCCATTATGTGGAAGTTGACATTAAACGCGCTTGGTTGACGTGGCTTGTTAAATAAAATTATATGATTGCATGTGGAAGTGCGCAATGCCATAAAAATAGTATATAGGGGCGTGTTCGAACATTCGAAAAGTGTGCTAGGCAGCAACAATTATAATAACGAACAAATAATAATAATAGCGATTGCGGGTATATACCTTTCACTGTATAATAATCATCTGACTCCAAAGTACATTTTCGACTAACTTCTATATACCAGATGAATACCGAGTACTGATGGCGCTGCTACTTCTAGGTGTTCCGCCATTCCACTATCCTGCTTTCCCATCTTACATTTATTAGAACGAATGTAACACCAATTTGTTAATTATATCTTTTGTAACAAGAGATTGTCATAGAAAAACAACGTAATATACATTTTGATCTGAAATTGTCGGGCTCGACAAAAAAAACGCCTTTGAGTATAGTTTCAATCCAGTAGCGTTATAATCAGTCAGTCCCACAAATTGTAGATATAGCTAGCTAAACAGTTGTCTCTAAAAAGAACAGATCTAAAAATACATTATTAAATTGCAAAATATACTTGTTTTGATCTACCGAATTTTGGAATCCATATCATATCATATCAATTTCGAGAAATTGGAAAATACATTTCGAATTTACTTTTCAGAATAGGATATATAATTGTTTTCATAATGTGTATAATAATTTATTATGTTGACGTTTTTATCGTCAGATTGCACATTTGCATGTTCTTTGTGGAGCCCATTTTATTTCTTATTTAGTTTATGCAGATAATAAAGAGGTTTATATTTATAGCATTATAAGAAATCGGATACCAGCCGAGTTAACTTGCGCAATCCATCCTTTGGAAAAATCTGAGCTTGCAATGTCAAATTTAATGAAATTATTCCAAATCGTGTAATAGTGGTTCAAATCTAATGTAATATTATAAAACAATATTCTCGTGATTTGAAAGTGCAATAATTTTAATCCAGTAATAATAATAATATTCATGATCCTAATCAAAATATGTATAATAAATCCTGAGAACCAACTTCGGGCCATTGAGCGAACTAAGAAATCAAAACATAAAAAGATGCGTGTACTCGTATATCATCAATTCATCACTGATTGCATTATACGATTACACGAAACAGATTGATGCGAAACAAATTTCTTATTTACTTCAAAGGAGCACATATTTTTAGTAGCAGTTGAGTATCCGCCTGCATCATGAAACAATTTATTTGTGCCATTGGACTACTCGTTGCCATAATTGAACTTGTGCTGGGCGATGGGCTGATCTCGTCTAAATGCCTAAAAGGCGAAGAGTGGAGTTTGGATGCAAAGAAGTGCGTTATAAAAGCATCTAGTCTTAAAGGGCTAACATGCCCACGTAATTATATTTTACAAGCAAATGGAAAATGTGTTAGATATACCGCCATGCAGAGTGGTACATCCGCGAAAACGCACTGCCTGGTGGGTTTCACTTGGATCCCAGAGAAGGAAGTGTGTGCGAAAATCGATCAGATAGTGGATGCAACTAATATTCAAGAGAAAATAAAAAAGATAAATAAAATAAATAAGAAGATAGATACACCGGCAACTTGCGGACATACTCGAGCTTGGGACGAAGGTACAAAAAAATGTGTTCCGCATCCACAAATCGTGACAGTTGTAAAAGATGTAAAACCTAAGGCACCTGTTTTTCTCAGCAATGCATTGAAGAATAAAAATATTGCTAAGGTCTAACATTGCTTTTAAATATTTTATTAAGAGTTCAAAAGTGCTTAGAGGCCATTTGATTAAATACAAGACAAAGCTACATAATATTGTGTGTGTTTAAACTGCGTGTTTAAATCTCTGGCGCTTTTTGAATTGGGCCTAAAACGATTAACATATGTATATTTACAAATAACAATCAAAGCTCTAAGTTGTATTTAATCAGCGCAATTAAAAGAAGAGCACACTTAACACACCTTAACCAAAAAGATACCGGAATATATTCAGAAAATGTAAAATACAAGTTTATTTATCAAAAGTGATATTGTCGCATTAAAAGTACTCCCTATCGGCTCTCAAAACATTTCTGGAACTCTATTGTCGGTTGACCATAAGAGCCGCCTTCGATTTTTCCATTACTCTTGAAACGCGTTCCCCGTAGTGGTTTTCTTTAGTTCGATCAAACAGAAAGCAATCAAAGGGAGCCATGTCATGTGAATTTGATGGCTGTTGGATGGTATTCGTTTCGCTCTTGTCTTTCGCGATGTCAACGCGGTTCTCTTTTTGCATGAAACTCAGGTCGTTGTAACCAGCATGGCGGAAACGTAAATGAAATTAACTACAATGTCCTGAATGGATCCATAAGCAATGTTCAAGTCAGCTCTATGGCGAGTAATTTGCGGTTACTGATCAATTTTTCTTTCACTTTATTGATGTTTTAATTAGTTTTCGATGTTAGCCGAAACAATTTCCCAACATTTCTAATGTTTTCGCACCTATTTTTAACGCAAAATTGAAAATACGTGCAGAGGTAAATGTAATCAAGACGATGTCAATTTTACAAAATCAAACAATGGGCATACAGTTTTGGTAGGAATGTCAATAACAGATGTGAAAACCGTAAAAAAATAAACCTGGTTGGGTTAATTTAGAGCACATTCGCAAACATGTGGGTTCAGCGTTGAGCCATTTAAGCCGAGACTATGAAACGTAGCAAGGCTAGGTATGAGCATTTTTCGGAAATCAAGTAAATATTTGTATTTTTTTATAAAATACAAGTAGTCCAAAACCAATCTACTACTCTATAAATTCGGTTTTCAAAAACCCAGCTATCTCGATAATGTTACACAAGTTTCTTGCCTTTTTACGCTGTTTTTTCTTAAAGTCTGAAACATGCGCGATAGATTGATAGTTATAAAAGAATTTTAGTTACGCAAATTATCCAATTTAGTATGGTAAGACGAAGCGTTTAACCTACCTGTTACTTACTTTGAACTTGGACAAGTTTATGCGAATTTCTTTAGCCTATTTTTCAACAGTATTAGCTGAAGCCCATTGTTTGACGTGCTCTCTAAATTCTCGAAAACTATAAAGCAAACGCGCAACGGCCCACTTGTGTTTTTTATTCCACTTGATTGGCTAGCTATTGTATTTTTTCGTTCAGGCACAACGTTTAGGCAATTGTGACTTTTTGAATCACACTAAAAACGTAGCGTAATTGTTTCAAAGCGCCTGTAGTCGAAGGGAAAAACATCGAGATTAGAACACTTGGCT